CCCAGGTGCCCTAGTTCTTCTTCCACGTGTTGTCCTCAGAATAGAGGTAAGAGAAAGAGATTAACAGGCAAGCTTGTTTTGAATACATAACAGGCAGGTATAGTTTGGCCACAAGTGGGCTAGGTATACTCTCAGAAGGAATACCTTTATTTGATCAGACAGATCAGAATCTTCCAGGGAAAATATTAATTTTAGGAAAACAGATCAGAACCTACCTGTTATCAAATAGGAAATTGGCTTGAATGTTGAGAAATACCCATTTTTATTGTTATTAGTGGTTTATCATCCTCCCACCCAAAACTACCCTACTGACACTCCCTATTGCCACTGTTGCCACCAAGTCAAAGAGCAGTCTTGTTCCTCTATCGTTGTTCTTCCTACTTAGAAGCTGAATTTCATGCTAGGATATAGCCATCCAGCTGGGTCTAAAAGGTCTCATCATGTGTGGAGAGAAACCAAATACAGAAAATTTACCTCCAATCAATACCCCTCTGATCTCCAGATGTCCTAAGAAAAACAGTGAGGCAGCAAATGGCCACCCTCAAGCCAGAAAACCATACTTGGACTCAATGTTCTTAAGAACCAGGCAAAGTAGCTAACCTCTTTTTAATTTGGTCTCCTGGATTGGAACACATAAATGTTTAACTACACTCTGGCTTAGGAAGGAAAGCAAGCAGAGGTGAACGTATCCTGTAGTGGCAAGGCTTCAACAGACCACTTGTCTCACCCTGAAATATGAAGAAGCAATGCCTGCCTCCTCAAGCTGAGCAGTGCCCAGAATTTATTAACTTCAAGTATGATGTGAATTTGGGGTCTGAGCCAGGTATTATCATTGAGAAAAGGTGGACAATTTCCTCTCCCTCCCTCCCTCCTCCTCTTCTTACTGCTGATTGTACTGTTCAGAAGTGAATCATGATTTAATCCCCTCTGTTGTTAAGAGTATTACAAAATTCTGGTTGCAATGAAGTCATAAAAATATTTACGTGAAAGAAAAGAAGATGGACAGATAGAGAATGTTATAGCAAGTGACAAAACTCATCATTACCACCAGCAAAAGGATAGGTATGGAAAAATCCTTGCCTGGATACCAAATGGGATGTAGCTCATTAACTTAGACCGTCTCTCTCTTTAATCAACATGGCACATGCTTTTACAATCATGCAGTGTTGAAAGCAGTGCCTGATGGGAGAAAAGACAGTTCTAGTCTCATGTGTCTGGGTTTTTAAATTTTAGCATCATCAGATCAGGGCCAGGTTACCCCAGAGCGCTCAATGATTCATGAGAAATGAATCATGTCTTCATTTCAGGGCTTAGTATATGCATTATACCATTATTATATGCAAGCAACTCTTTGGTTGACGGCTCCAACATGGATTAAGGTCAAAGTGGCCCTGGAGACCAAATTCCCCAGTGAGGAATTGCCACATGACTTTATGTGTCCTTTGCTTTTAAATTCTTTCTTCTCTTAGAAACAAACAACCACAAGCTTTCACATTGGTATTATATCTACATAACGTTTATTCTTCTTATGGCAATGAACTGAAGAAATACAAGTGAGAATCTGTTATTAGAGGTTAAACTGTGTCACACCCAACTTGTGCTGAGGGTCCAGTTTCTTTTTATTATGCTCCAATCTTGTTGAATGACTATTGCCTAAAATAAATGGACAATCGACAGGGGCTTAGAAATAACAGGGATGCTTAAGTGACTTTTATGGTAGCAGTATTTGTTGTCACAGAATTTGACCTGTATTCTAGTTATTCGTTTTATTCATCACATTGGAAACCTGACACTTCCATTGTTCATGCCATTATATGCAAAGCACTGTAGCATAAAAGTCACTTACAAAACTGTGAAAAAAAAATTCTAAACACCAGAGGCTAATAAAACAATAAAACATCAGCTAGGGGGATATATATTGTTTGATTTAGCTAAATATTCTGGATGGTCAATGGTTTATTCAATTCCTAAAAGTTTTTTTTTTAACCACTAGGATGTAAATATTTCTAAAATGTTTGATAGACAAATTTTTGCCTTCTGAGCATAGTTATTTTATGTACGGTGCACAGGATCATCATTTTGAATGTAATATTGTCCTATGATACAGTGAGGCTCTTAAAGATTGAGATGTGTATAGGCTGTTTTTGGCACTAAATAACCCATATATCTGGGCTTTTGGAGCTTTTCGATTTACTCAAAATTTCTGTTTTCTCTATTGCTGTCCTTCTTTTTCCTTCTTGTTTCTTCTCAAAGTCTGTTTCTCTCCTTTATATTTGGAAATATGTGTGAAGTGGCCAGGTGCAGTGGCTCATACCTGTAATCCCAGCATTTTAGGAGGCCGAGGCGGGCAGATCACGAGGTCAGGAAATCAAGACCATCCTGGCCTTGATTTAGTAGAGATGGTGAAACCTCATCTCTACTAAAATACAAAAAAAAAAAAAAATTGGCTGGTGGTGCACGCCTGTAGTCCCAGCTACTCAGGAGGCTGAGGCAGGGGAATCGCTTAAACCCAGGTGGCGGAGGATGCTGTGAGTCATCATGATGCCACTGCACAGCAGCCTGGGCGACAGAGCAAGACTCGGTCTCAAAAAAAAGAAGTATGTGTGAAGTAAGAGCAAATAGGTTCTGAGTAGGTGCTTCATGAGTAGATGTAGAGCCTTTGTCTTATGCATTTGCTCTGTGGTATTTATTTCAACTGGTTGGAAGCCTGGTTTGCTTACTTCTTAATTCTCATTTTTGATGGGTTGAGCAGAGGCTCTAGATTTTTCTAGTTCTGTCTCAGTTACTCATTGTCAAACCACCAGTTTAGATTTTGTGTTCAGGAAATAGGGACAGGTGAAGCTATCAGGTGGCTAAGCCCTAGGTAAATGAGTTGCTATGAATCCTGAAACGTTATAAGGCAAATGGTATGCTGTGGCCATGACAGCTGAACTCAATAAGTGAACTTTAAAACAGATAAGCTCCTTTTGCTGTTTCCCTTTCCAAGAATATGAAGCTGGCCTGATGTCAAGCTGTTGGAGAGCCTTCGAGATGTTTAATTAAATCACAGACTCAGTGTCAGAGCTGGCTGACTTTCAGGATTCTAAGCCTGTAGCAAAAGAAGACATGGTTTTGCCTCTCTTGTTGATTTCCTTATTTATGGCCTTGGAATAAAGAAGATAAAGCAAGTCTAACAGTCCTGTCTTCTGAAAGTGCAATTTCAGGCCATAAGAAAATTTCACTATATTTACACTTCCTTCCCTCACTTTTACATTACATTTTCCAGGCTATACAAAGCAAGACCTTCTTTGCAAAGGCCAAACTTGTTGTCCCACCGCCATACTGTACATGTGTAGGGGTAGGTGTAGGGGGATCAGTGTTGTTATTCACCAATACAAGGTGGAATCAGTGCAGCTAGGAGAGAAGAGATTAAGGAAAGAGGCTGTGAAGTCTGCTAGACCTGGGTTTAAGTCCTGGCTTCCCACTTATTAGGGTGTAACCATGGTCACAGTACTTAATTCTCTAAATTTGATGCCTGAGCAATAAAGCGGGGAATGATAGTATTGGTGCTGTTACAATTATGATAATGTGAAAAACAACTAGGGAGAGTGCCTGGTCCAGAGAAAGAGCTAAGTGACAGCTCTTATTATGAACAAAAATGAACGGTTTAACCTTGAGATTACAATAGTTAACAAGCACAGACACTTAGAGCAGCCCGCTATTGACTTCAAGCAGTCTTTTGCTTTTTTTATTTCTGTGACATCTTCTTTTATTACAACTTTCTGTTGGGTGTCTCTAACTCTGGTGCCTTGTGAAGGCCAGGACATATTCCAGACAAGCTGAAATTCTACCTTTTTGTGAGTATAAAGGCAATGGGGCCATGTATAAGTTGGATCAAATAAAGAGTAGTAAAAAAAAATAAGAGAGTTGTAGCTTTCAGAGGGAAAGATACAACGAGAGAGGGCTGGGGCAATGGATGTGGTATTGAGATACTGGCACCAGGAAGCAGGGAAAACCTCCAAACACATTGTGGTTTGTTAAAACACTGAAGACTCTTAAGTGCTACAGTGGCAGGCAGTGTCACCCCATCAGGCAGTAGTGTCCTCCATAGCTGTGGAAGGGGAAGTAGGGTCTAATGATTGCTCCTGGAGACAGAGAGTCTGCTGTCCTGGGCTTTACCAGCCTGGCTTGTTGGGTGACCTTGAGTGACGTATATCCCTACATGGACAATTTCCTCAAGGTTCTCACACAGTCTGATGGGTGATATATTTGTTATGTAAAGGGTCTGATGAAGATATATTTGTTAAAAGAAAATTTAGAGGAGAGTCCACAAATTGCCCCTCCAGACATACTTGCTTGTGGGTTTTAGGATTTTTAAACATTAAATTTTAATGCATTTAGGCAGGGCTTGGTATTTTCTAATTCACACATTATCTACCATCTTGAGTCTTCACATTTGGCTCATGAAGGCATCTGAGTATATGACTTCTGATTTCAATGAACTACAAACCAGATTGGAATTGCTTCATTTACAACTCAATTCTATTTCTTCATCAATTACATGCAAATATGTACTTCTAAAGTTTCACAAAACAAAGATTTTGCTGGCCTAACTGTACTTTGCTCTATGATGACATATTTTTTTTCTAGAAAATATGTCAAAAATTACAATTTGACTTTCCTTGTAGTTCATCCAAATTCTAAAGCTTTAATGTTATTTGAAAACATAATTCAGCACCAAGTATTTTTTAGGTTACAATCTAAGTTGCTCATAAAATTTAATCTCGGTCTCGATCATTTTGAGGAGAAAACATATCACTAAATAATAATGATCTTCAGTCTGTTCTTTTGCCACTTCCCAGAGATCTCCTAAGGCACTCTGGAAAAGTCAGAAGTAAATTAGACTCCTACATCTAGTAACCAAAACACCAGCATCTTTAGCATTACCACAGTGAAGTATGCAGATCATCATGAATATTTACACCTTGCAGGGTCCTTTGTGCACAACTCGGAGAAACAAATGGCATTTCCAGTAATAGTTTATTGATTTGCAAATGCACAGGGGCGCTGAGTCCGAACATCCTGGGATAGCAGTAAATCTCTCTTACAAAATAATTTACAGTATGAAAATGATATACTGAAACATTAACTCAAATGTGTAATTCCCTTGAAAGATTCAGTGTTCCCTTGTTTAATGTAAAGGGTGGAAGGGGAAGATGACTAAGGAGGGAATGTGATGGTGCACAGGAAAATAGGCAGAGGACAATGAATTCATTGGTTCTCCCCATTCATGCAGTGTGGCCTGTCACTGTAGAAAGACTGGTCAGATTTAACTTTCATTAAGTATTAATCTGCTGTCCCCTCAAAGTCATATCAAGCCCAGTATGGGCTCCGTGGCTTTTTTTGCACCAATGTACCCACAGGTATCTTCAGTTATTTTCATTTTTCTTCTCTGGGCCTTGTTCTGTTGTTTCCGGTGTGTTCTCAGTTCCAAATGATACTATCTTACCAGGCAGGCCTTCAGAAGCAAGAACTGCCTGAGTCTTATGGTTTCTGGAATGCGACAGGGTTAGGGGGCTTCATAAGCACTGCTGGATAAAGGCAATAATAATGAGATCTGAAGTCTCCCCTATGGGCCTTCTTCTTCTCTTAGGGCTGGGCTGGACTCAATCCATAATGAGATTTTTTTAAACATAAAAATCTGATGTTATCAGCACACAGTAAACATGCAATTCATTTTCTTATTGAGAAGCATGTATTGAACGGCCATTATATGAGTGTGGAATTTCAGGAATGGCAAGATAATATTTTCTACTTAGGGAGAGAGGACTTCCTAGACCCTGCCACTACTACAAGATCATGAATTCTGCATTCGTGCCCTCAGGTCTAAATTGAATAATTAGACTCTCAGGTCACCAAAATGGCTGGGCATCCAAATTTCCTGTGTTATCAAACATCTTGGAGGAGGGCTGGAGTGCAATTTCCTTCAGGGCTGTCACTTTGACTCAGTGCTTTAGGAGCTAATAACTTTGCTAGAGAATTGCCCTTCTTGTAAGCAAGTACCTAAGCTCCAACTATATGGCGGCACTTGTAATTAGGGCTGACAGAAACCTCTGAAGTAGTATGCAAGATAATGAAGGGCTGCTTTGAGTTTTCCTTAGTTCTCAGGTATTCTGTATGTCGTATGAGTGGTTATATATGTATGTATATACATATATACACACATCACACTTGTCATTTAGCATTTATATATAGGTACATATACCACCACCACCACCATCCCCCCACCACACACAAACAGGAATTAGTAGAAAGTCCAGATTCACTGGACTTTGAATTGCTACATCCTCACAGAGCACACTGGCAGCTAGGTTTACTAAAATATGAAGATTTCCTTTTCTACAGCAGTGAAGCTGCTGACATTTTCAAATAAAGTTGAGTAGAGAGCAGAACACCCTTTACTTTTACTACTGCTGCAAAGTTCTGTACCCTTGAAGGTCAAGAAACATCTTCCTTTTTATGGAAGATGGCACAAAAAAGGAAAGGTTCTCCCAGCTCCTGGGGGTGGGCTCAAGTCAGCAAGGTGTACTTAAAGTATCTGCTAAAGGAAAGAAATAAGGCCACCACAATGCCATTTCTGAGCCCTAACTGCAACTGTGAAATGTCACTTTGAAAAAGATTCATAAATTGGGATGGTCAAAGTGCAGTGGGAAAAACCTGAAGCCTCTTTATCCTTCTGTCTTTAGATGGACCAGGGTGTATGGTACAAAGTGCCTGTCCAGAGAATTAGGGAGAGCTGGATTCAAGATCTGGCTTGAGTATTTCCTAGCTGTGTAACTTGAAGCAAATGACTCTAATGCTCCCCATCTGTTTTATTATCTAAGAAACAGGGTGTCATTTAGGGCCTGGCTCATAGTTGTTCCTTAATATAAGTTATTCCCCTTCTTGAGCTGTCAAAGCCAAGACTCCAAGCACTTCTTGAGACTGTCCTGGATTTAATGATATCAAACCAAAGTCCCTCTCAGCATCCAGAAATTCAGCATTTGAAAGGTAGCTAGAAATTGCTGAGTATCTGACTGATTCTGGAGACATTCATTACCTGCCCACCTTGGTGACATCTCGTTAGGGGTTTCTGCAAACCCTACAACCTGCAGCCAGACAAGACACAATTCTGAGCTCTCTAACTTTTACTAACCTGGCAGGAGGGAAGCCTCATCATGCTGGGGCTTAAGGCCAAGCAGCATGCTCCAGCTCTGGGGGAAGGTGGTGCCCCTGCAGGAAGCATCCTAGTTCTTACATTGATAAATGCTGCCGGCAGGAACTTAGGAGCCTGGGCAAAAGCTGCTGTGCTGTGTTTAATGCTTCCCTGGTTAAAGTTTTATCAGGTGCTGAAGACAGCAGGAGTCTATAAAGCAAATCTCAAACCCTTTCTAAGTAAAAGCAAAAGTGCTTTCCTTGAGGATTACAGAGATATGATAAGTTACTGAGACAGGTTGGCACATATTTTCAGATTTCCATTTATATCCACTGCATAAAGGCTTGAATTTCCCAAATACTGATTCAAAGTAATAACATATGATCAGATACGGACAGCCAATGATCTCTCCATTGCTAATATAAGGCTACTATTTGGATATCAAACAATGATTATTGGGGAAAGACAACATGCTTCCAAATCCTAAAATCTTTTTAATCTTCTGATATTTAAACTTTTCTGAGAGTGACCACTGGTCCTTCTTTTAGGGTAGTTTTGTTGGATATGATTGGAGGTTCTAAGTAACGGTATGCCAAATTCTCCAGTCTTTGCACAGATAGGTAAAGCATCAAAATTGTCTTAGCCATTTCTTGACCACAAGATTGAGAGAAAAACACCTTTTTTTTTTTTTTTTTTTTTTTTTACATTTCAGACTCTACTTAGCCCCAATATCCTGACATTTTTAGTGAGTTATGACAATCCTAACCTAGAAGCATATATGCCTGGGAGCTTCTTGGCCTCAAAGGAATAAATCATTTCACAGCATTCACAGGACTAAAAAATAAATAGGACTCCTACAGTAAACAAGTATTGTTTCTGTTTCAAACCATCCTGCAAGCACAAAAACCAGCTGGCCCTAATGCTTGTAATAGGTACACAGGTCACAGGCAGACAGGCAGGCGGGAAAAGGGATTTTCCCCCAGTGCAGGCTGCTTTGGTTTTGCCTTAGAGGCACTAGAAGTCTAGGTCCTGGTTTAGCAGCACCCAGAGTCTGCTTGGATATGGTTCCGGTTGTATTCCTCATAAGTGAACCCCAAAATACCATAAAGACAGAGAAGAGTGAACACATAGCCCACCTGCAAGTAAGAAGTACCTTTCAAGATTCCTATTTTATCTTAACAGTTTATTTTATCTGAACATTTTATTCTATAATATAACTTTTATATAAAAATAGGTCATCTCCTGACTCTGAACTATTTGGTAAATAAAACTGATGCTTCAAGAAGATGCAGGTTTTTAAGTTTGCAGTTTTATATTCCCCTAGCACATCCCTGCTTACTTGGGAGTACAAAGCTTGGTTGTAAGAAACTGTGATTTGGGCATAGAGAAAAGCAAGGAAGTCCAACTTCAGGTGTGTCTGTTACTAAGAGGAGAGCGAGATCCAGGGTGTGGGAGATGATTTGAAGGTCTGTGGGTGGGGGGTGCCACAGGAAGAAGGGTTCTGGTTGGAGTTAAAGGAGGGTATATATCTATCTGCTGGGAGATGAGCTGCATTCAGAACACATGGAGTGGCAATAATTCTCCCCCTACTGCATTTAAGCCAAATTAGGCTAAAATTGGGGTGGGAATAGTAAAAACCTACACTGAAAATTCCCATTTGGTAATATACATTCCAGCCCTTCATATTGTGATAAGCCCATAAAACCTGCAGAATTCACCCACATAATTCTGGTTCTATTAGATCCTTTAGTGACTATTTTAGAAATTCAGGCAATTTGAATTTGGAAACACTGATTTCACCTTTTAATCAGATTTCTTTGGTCCTTTTCCCCCTCCTAAGGTCATTTCCTTTCCACCTCTTCAATCATTTTTTTTCACTTCCACAGCACTGAATTATGAAGCTCAAGTCCTAGATAACTTCATATACTAAAAATATCTCTTCCTAACCTTTAAGTCTTTCTCCAACACCTTTTTCCAGTCATCCATATTAATTCATGGCACCACATTTTCACAAACATAGAACTGGACTTTTAGGGACAATATGAGGCAATTTGGCCCTGCCTTGCCCTCATTTATTTCATGCTTTGATATGAACAAAACTGGGTTTTTGTCAATAGCCAGGGAGAAAACTCTGACTTTCCTTCAAGATTATTCCAGATCCTTCCTAACAAAGCGTACTGTTTGGTTGTAAAATATTATGGGGGCTGGCTTTCCTGAGTAAGTTCAAAGCAGCCACTGAGGGATTACTTGAAGGACCCTTAATTGCTCCCGGTGGATCAAATGGGCTCTTTTCCTTGACCTACCACAGAGGATGAGAAGAGCACAGTCAGTAAGCATAAAACTGGTCATCCCTTGGAGAGATATGTGCCTGCTGTGGATCTGGGGACACATCCGGCGGAAGTACGTTTGTGGCTGAGCAGCTTTCACAGAAATCAGAAGCCGTTACATACACGCTGTCACATACACACAAGGGGAGGGGATGATTTTCCACTGGGGGTAGTAGCCTTCATGTGTCCTCTTCTTCACTGGCACCACTGCAAAAAAAAAAAAAAGAAAAAAGGAGAACCAGGTGAGTTAAGATATCACAAGAAGGGAGGCAGCCTAGTTTACTGGTTGACAAAGCACAGGCTTTGTCAGACATACCTGGATTTAAGTCTTAATACCATGATTGAGCAATATGGACAAAGGCAAGTTACTTAGTTTGTTTAAACTGATTTCTTTATCTTGCCGCAGGGGGAATGATGATAAAATGCACTTTCTTGAGTTACTAGAGGATTAAATAAAAGAATACATATAAAATGCACAGTATCTGGTATACAGTAAGTGAGGAGCTATTTAAAGGAGAGTCCTAATTCTTTCAAACTTAACTAAAAAAGTAAATAGCTGGTAAAAATCAGATGTGTGATTTCCTCTAAGCCTTAAGCCATCTATGAGGAGAGAAAAAACAAGGAAAAGCTACTATCATCTGCACTTTGAATGGCACTTTGCACTTGGGAGAAAATCCAAGATTTCAACTCATGCCATAAGGACATATCCACCTCGTCAGAGAAGGCCTCTACTTAGTAGGACTCCCAGGTGATTCTCTTATTTCTTTCATAGGCCTTATGACATTACATAATTTATTTGTTTGTGATTTACTCTTCTCTCTATCCCTGACTAGAGCATACAAGAATAGCACTGCTATTTATTAACGATGTATATCTAGCACTAGCACTAGCACTGGGCTGGGCATATAGAAGTGCTGCATAAATAATTGTTTTTAAAAAGGAAGTGAAATATGAACAAGAAGAAAGGGAGGGAGGGATGAACACAATTGAAGGGACTGGTCAGTCATTACTGCCCTGTCCAGGGTGTACCAGATGTTATGGATGTTTCAGAGACCAAAAAATGGGTTGTCAAGGCCCAGAGGCATGGCTAGTACCTCAGCTGCTCAGAGTTACAGCACCTGTGGCTTGGTCCTGGGAGAGAACACTGTTGGTACAGGGATTGGGGCAAGGAGAAGGCCCAGCCTGAGAAAGCAGGAATGAGCACACTCTGAAGGACAAAAATGTGTCTGTATAAAACCTGTGCTCTTTTGCATCCATTTGGGAAAGACTTTAAGGGAAAATATCTTAGGAAACAGATTTCTAGAACTTCCACTAAAGGTAGAAACATTTCAAGAAACAGGTTCTGCAAGTTAAGGTAAGTGTATGCTAGGAGCCAAAGAACCAACTCAATAATCTTCACCATTCCGAATTCCAACCTATTTCCACTCCCTTTTCCTGCTGGTTATACAATCATGGGATGAAGGGTGCATGCCACCAAGAGCTGGACAGTGGGCTGTCATTAAGGAGCAGTATTTAATGGCATCTGTCCCAAAGGGAACAAAAGGTCTTTTATGAAAGCTTCTCATCAGAATCAAGGCAGAGCTGGAACTGGCGCCATATTCTCCCCCTTGGTATTATATCCAAAGCAAGCTTTCATTGTTCTCTTGTCAGTTTTATTTCAAATATGAGGGCAGCATGGTAACTCTGCCCTAAGCCGCAGTTCACTTTTTAGCATTCTTAACTTGAGATACATAGTTTAAATGTTTAAACATTCACGAACCTAATGAAACTGTATACAGAATTTTTTCTGTGTGTTCCTTTGAGAGAAGCCATACTTTTCATCATTTTCTCAAAGAAGTCAACTCCTGCCAAATTGAGAATAATCAAATTATAAATAAACTCTTTTCCTGTTGCCAGGTTCTTTATTATAAGATCTGGAGAGTGACTTGGGAAAAAGGTCTGAAGTCCTGACTGAGAAAATCTCTTCTCATTAACTTAAAAGAGACCTGTTCTTGGGCCTGAAACTTATCTCGCAGTTTAAAACATGAGATCTTAGGATACTGGCATATCATTTATTGATGATTTCATCTGCTAAATATTTATTGACTGTCAACCATGTGTCAGTCATGATGCTAGGTGCAATAATGAATAAGATGGACACAGGAGTTGACCTCTAGGACTTTAAAGCCTAGTAGGTGAGATACAGGCTGGGGAAGGGAAAGAGAACCTTTTATTTTCCGTAATAGCATCTTCAAAGAAAGCATCTTATTTTTATAATAACCCTTTTCTCACAATAATGAAGAAGAAAAGACGTTATAACTGAATCTGTAACATAGAGCTTTGCTCAGCTTGTATGTAGCCTCTCCTGAAGGATTCAACAATATAATTAGTGTGCGGCATCCTCTCCTCTCCTGAATGTTCTTGCTTCACTTTGTATATAAGCTAGTCTATGTTCACGAGATTATTTACTTACTTACTTTTCAGATGGAGTCTCGCTCTGTTGCCCAGGATGGAGTGCAATGGTACGATCTTGGCTCACTGCAATCTCCACCACCTGGGTTCAAGCAATTCTCCTGCCTCAGCCTCCCGAGTATCTGGGATACAGGCACATGCCATCACACCCAGCTAATTTTGGTATTTTTAGTAGAGATCACAGATCTGCCCACCCCAGTCTCCCAAAGTGCTGGGATTACAGGTATGAGTCACCATGCCCGGCTGTTCATGAGATTTTATCTTAAATAGTCTATAAAAGTCTTCACTTTCTGCAAGGGAAGTAATACAGCCTTCCACCTCAGCCACTTATAGTGCTCGTCTGAAACATCTACCAGTCACACTGAGACTTACAACTAGAGTGGGACTCAGAGGTTAATAATGGTTATTTCATTAAAAAAAATAAATAAACTAAAGGTGTTAGGCAGACAGCCCATTCTACAGCAGATACTTAGCAAAGAGAGAGGCAGTATTACATAATTACTTTCATGTCACCAGCCTAAACTAGGTTCAAATCCCTGTTATGAGCTAATAAACTGTGGGAACTTAAGTAAGTCACCAACCTCTCTAAATCTCAGTTTCCTCATTGAAATGCTATCTTCCAGGGTTACTGTGGAAGCTTTATAGATTTTATGCAATACAAATGATAAAAAAATGTTGCTTCTCTTCTTCAACCCACCTTCCTTCTTATCCTGAATAAAAATCTGCCTCTTCCTACTTTCCCCCAGTGTTCCTAGTCTGGCAGCTGAAATACAACATTCCAGAACAAGTGTGTTCCTATCCCCGAATGCCCTTCAAATATCTGAAGAGCAACAGTACCCTGTCTTGCTCACTTGGAGAGTTTTTTAATGACAACCCCAGACCTAATGAAATACAGGTACTAAGTAGAAAGGTTGAGTATCATTCTGACCCTTCTAGGTGGCAGGTCTCGAGAAAAGTCATCCCTGCCAAACACTGGTGAGAACAAATGCCGAGTGAAGTTTAATTTGGTTAACCAGCCTTAGCTCAGTCACCGATCTAGCTTGAGGACACTGTTGTATCTAAAAATGGTGGCCTTAAAACTGGGGTATGGATACCCTTGTGGTATGTAATTACTTTCCAGGAAGTATTTGGGCCTGAGTAATTTTAAGAAAAATAAATGTCCAAATCCTTAACTTCCACGTACACTGTTTCGTAAAACTTACTTTCTCAGAAACATGCCTGTGCTCTGTAAGGTTCTTGTTTCAGCCACTCCCACTTTCCAGATCACCTTACTCCCACACTTCAGCAGAAATGCTACCTCTCACCCTTCTGAATCTTAGCACGTAACAATTTTAGAATGTCTCCCTTAGAGGAGTCCTATGAGAGAAGGGCAAGCAATAGTAAGAGACAATCTCTTTTCTCACCCAGGCAGGAAACTCTTGCCAAGGCTGGGTGTTTTCTCTACCTATCCATCGATCTAACACTTCAGATTTAGAAGTGAGATAGTTGTCATGAGGTGTGTACTAATATTTATTTGAATTGAAAGAAAATGAAATCAGACTTAATCCCGACAGAAAGCAAGTCTGATTTGGCTGGATGGTTGGACCATCAGAACTGGCTTTGCCAATTAGATTATATAGTACATCTTGCCTGTAAATTTAATAAGCTTAATTCATAGTGCCAAAGTTTTGACAAAAATATATACAAAAACTCATATAAGCTAGGTAACGTCAGCAATCACACCATTAGCAACTATTTACACTTGATAGATAATTTCAGGAATTAATTCAAAAATGGGCAAAAGGCACATACTTCTTATTTCTTTTAGGTGATGTCAAACCAAAAAGTTTAGCTAAAGGAACTGGGAGCTCCTAAATTCTGACCAGGAAGGTGGTGTGAAATTTAACACATTCTTGGTTGTGGGCAGGGGTTGGGGTGGCAGAATGAGACTAAGGTATCTCAGTCAGCAGAATGCTGTGTCCCTTCTGAGTTGGGCCCATGGTCTGATGTGGTGCCTGTGAAACTGAAATGTCAGAGACATGCCTTAAGCTTCACGTTCAGACCCTAAATACCCACTGATAAAATGATTATATTTTATCATCATCATTTTACAGTGTTTCACTGTCTGACAATTTTTTAGTTAGGCTGTATAGATATGCAGCTCAGCTTTTCAGCTTCTGTCCCCAGTGCTGTAGAAGTATAAAGGGGAAGTTAATAAATGTGGCAGCAGAAAAAATAGTTTCTCTTCCTAAGCATATAGTACAACTTAATGTGACTTGGCATCACTCATGTCTGCTGAGCTCTTGGGTATTTAATTAATTATTGCTGTAAAAGGATTATTTAACTCAGGAATATGGACAAATTAAGAGGTGTTGACAAGGGAGAAAGGCTAGATTCAGCTGAAATTAAAAAGTATTTAATATACTCCAAAAATTATGCTGCTGGGGCACTGTACAAGGAGCTAATTGGGAAGTCTCACTAAATGTCTGAGGAAGTGGTTGCCTAGTGGCAGTAAATGTGCAATCAGCATCGCTGGGGAGATGGACTAAATGCTTGGATCCAGGGACCTTTCTCTACCAGAGTTGCCTTCTTTGTCCCCTCTGTCCCACACTCACCTCCCCCAAGAGCCTGGACTGAAAATAAGGGGGTTACTGTGCTTTAAGGGATCTGAACTTAATAAAGCAAAATGTCCTTAGTCTATTTTAGGTTAACTGAGAAAAACATGAAAATACTACAGTTTTAGGCCTAGTTTTGCTGTGTGACTCTGGGACTCGGTA